GGGGGGACTTCAAATAGTTATTTACTTGACTTAAACAAATTTGAAAATCGCTGAATTGACACTAATTTTCAATTGGATAAATTTAGCTAGTGAATGCTCAAATTCAGTGTGAAACCAGACAGCCAAGGGCCACCCAGACTCAAATTACAGCACAAATAAGATTTCCTTCAGTGTTAGCTGCATCTTTATGCTCCATTCCCTGGGGAATGTGAGTGTCCTGTCTCCTGTTGCTCATAGTATCAGGGTACTCAGGAAGTGCAGTTTATAAATATCTTCAGGTGAGTTCAAATGGGACAAACTCTCAGAGGCAACATTTTGTACCATTCTCACTTCACACCATCTAATTACTGGGTCAAATTAATTTGGATTGTCAAGTCAGAAAAAACATGATCTGCATTCACAGTCTAGTACAGTTGCCAGATAAAATACACAACACCTAGTTAAATTTGAATTTCAGATAAACAGTGAATATTTATTATCCATGCAATGTTTGGACCATACTTGTGCTAAAAAAATTTATTTGTTATTTATTTGAAATTTGAGGGCCAGCTGAGTGGCGTGTTGGTTAAGAACTGGCTTGGGACGCCAGAGGGCCCTGGTTCAGATCCCATATATGAGGGCCAGTGACACTGCCCTCCACAGCTAAGATGCTGAACAACAGCTCAACCTGGAGTTGGACTGCCATGGGTCACCAGCGACGGTGTAGGCTGCAGTCCCTGTTGCAGTGAGCTGCCATTAGCTAACGTGTGTAGCCGGCAGCCAGCGTGAGCGGTCAGCAGCTGCCGTGAGTGGCCGTCCAGAGGCCGGTGACTGATCTGCCTCGCCCAAGAAGAACGCAATGATGGTGCTAACTTGGGCCAGTGAAGCAACATCCTCCACAACTAGACTGAAGAACAAAAGGACAGCAACTTGTCTGTTCCCCTCCCCCAATTCCCCAATAAAATCTTTTTTAAAAAAAAGAAATTTGAATTCTACTGGGTATCCGATAGTTTTATTTGCTAAATCTGGCCACCCTAAATTCTACTCAAGATAAGCACATAAACTTCAATTTTATCCACTGCTTCCCTACCCATTCATGCTTGAGTGGAGGGAAGAATATTAGCCTATGAGGCAGTGGGCAATATTTAATATTTGTCCTGGCTTTGATCAGAGAGAAAAGAAATGGAGAGGGGGGAAAAAGAAAATAATACCTATACAATTAACATTTTTACCACATTAGCGTAACCAGATATTTCTACAAGCAATTAAAATCTGCTCCACTAAGACTATTTGACCCTTCCAGAGACCCAAGATGGAGGAGGAGATAAACACTGTGCCTGCATCCTTCCAGGAACACATTAAAATTACAACTAAATTATAGAACAATCAACCTGGAGAACCATCTGAAGTCTATCTAAAAAGAAGTCCTATAACTAAAACTATAAAGAAGCCACATCAAGACTGGTAAAAGGGGCAGAGATGCAAAATGGGCCCCAAGCCTCTGTGTGGTGGTTGAGGATCAGAAGGGATACCTTGGCCACAGAGGTTCCCCCTGGAGGAGCGAGGGACCCCAGCCCCCCACACCAGACTCCCCAGCCCGGAGTACTGGTGCTGTACTTCCAGAGAAGAGGAGCCCCCACAATATCTGGCTGTGAGAAACAGTGGGGATTCTGACCAGCCAGGTGGCATAGAAGGTTGCTGGAAACCCAGACATCCTCTTAAACAGCCCACACACAGACTTGCTCGCTGGCAGGCACTCACCTTAGACTCCAGAGGAGGGACAGTGACTCAAGAGGTGTCGAAGACATACAGGGGGCTGACTGAGGTGTGTGGCTCCAGGGGAGGACTAGAGGACAGTCAGCATTTTCCCCAGTGTGATGTCTTCCTCCTGTGCAGCTGGCAGGTGGGCACCTTCTTTCCTGTGATGAACCCGCCCCCTCTGGCCAAATTTGAATCTGATTGGCCTGGTGAGCTCTGCTGCTGACTCACTGGGACCCCACGCCCACACAACTCCTTCAACACCAGAGGCACTTTCTCTGTGAGCAGCCAGCCCACCCACATTGCACTCTTTCTTGGAAAACTATCTGAGTCTGGCAGGTCCCTGGTGGGTGGCGACTGGCCTCCGTGTGCTCTGAGACTTTTGCTGAGTACCTCCAGGCTCAGCACTGGCACCAAATCAGAATTCACGGTAACCTGGTTACCACAACTCTTTCCACTCTAATGATTCCCTGAAACGCAGCCTCACCCAACTTGCATTCCACTTGAGGCCCTATCAGTGGCTGACCCTTAAGGGAGCCAGCAGGTGGCAGCAGGCCTTGGGATGTCCTGACTTTTTGCAGAGCTACCACCAGGCCTAGTACTGGTGGCAGACATCCTTGGTTCATAGCGTGGCCTCTCCCACACACCTCCAGGTTTAGCATGGGCAGCGAACAACCACAGATTGATTTGTAGCTCCTAGCAGGTAGTCCCCGAACAGCCACAGGTAGTGGGTGACCTGGGCCTGTACTAGAGCCTCTCCCAAGAGGTCCCAGAACCAACATACTTGGAAATTGGCTTCAGACCACAACAGAACACCGCCCAATTAGCCCCACAAGCGGCACATGCAAAGGGTAGTCTCAACAGGCACCAGAGCCTGCTGGGGCAAATCCCACTCAGTGGCGTAAGCCTCCTGCACAGCAGCCCACAAGTTGTTGGCCAAATCCCACAGCCAGTCAGCCTAAAGGTCAATCCCACTCACTAATGTGCTTATAGCAATCAAGGCTCAACTATAACAAGAGGATACCCACAACCCACACAAGGGACACTCCTGGAGAACATGGAGCAGGTGACCAGGGAGACTGTGCCACTGGGCCCCACAGGCCACCTACTATGTAACACCACCCGGCCAAGACTGGGAGATATAGCAGACCTACCTAATACATAGAAACAAACACAGAGAGGCAGCCAAAATAAAGAAACAAAGAAATGTGTCCCCCAAATCACAAATACTGTGTATCTTTCTTTGGTCATGCTATATCTCTGCCATTCATTCATTTCTTCATTCACTTCTTCAACAAATGTGTTGACTATGTTGGGGGTGGAGACCAGTACTGTGGCAAGGGTTTGGCCTGTCTGGATGAATAAACTGTGGTTCCTGTTGTCTGGGCTCAGTGTAATCACTCAAAGAGTGGCAATAACTATAATGAAGAAGACAAAAAGAAATTACTATCTCAGCTGAAATACAGGAAGTAGGCAGAGCTTAAGGAAGGGTGAGGTAAAGTCGTAAACCACTCTATTTTGTCAGTCTCTGCACTGGTCCCATTTTTCCTGGGTCAGGGAATTCTATTTCTTCTGTCATGCACGTATGTTCTCTATTGTTCCCTCCTGTTACTTCTCTCACTATCTTTTTTTCTCCTGTAGCAAAGGGAGAAAAGTCAAAGGAGCTATTGGGTTGACTAGGGGAAGGAGATGGAGGAAACCATGCTCGCATCTTGCTATGCTAGGTCCTCTTGAGGTATGGGTAAAAGGAAGGGTTGGATTCTGATAAAGTGAGGCTTTCATTGCAGAGTCATGTGTAAGATGGAGGGGACCACAGAGGCCATTTTCCTTACTACCCGTTTTACAGCTGGGGACATGGAGGCTTAATGACTTATCCAAGGCTACACAGGCAATTATTGGCATCAGTGGGACAAAAACTCAGACTTAATGTCAACGAAGGTTTGAATGGACCAGTGGAGCACTTCTAATGCTCCTTTTTGCAGAGGGAGCCAGAGATGGAAACTACTACTGCCTTTAGCAGCCTCCTCAACCTTATGTTCTTGACAATGAGGCAGTCCTTAATTTCTGGCTCTCCAAAGAAATGGAGAACAACTGATTAACCTAGTCACCCCACAGTCTTCTGTTCCTTAAGGAAAAGCACTCAACAATAATCATCACTCAAAGGACTTATTTTCATATCTTTTATAATTTTTGTTGCTCTTTCCACAAGACTGACCCATTTCTTTATATCCTTTTGAAAATGTGGCTACCCAATCTGAACCTAGAGCTTTGAAGATTTGTTTGATGAACTAAAATTTCTTTGTGCTGTGCTTTTTAATGCTTTTTACTTTGACTTTGTTTTTACTTGTTATTAAATTTTCTGAAAAACATTACTTATTCTCAATGTGTTAGTAATGACTTGGAGAAATTTATATTGTTGATTTAGTTCTATAAGGGCGGCTTCCTGAACATTGTCCTCTTTGTGTGATGGGCTGTCTCCCTTTTTTTTTTTTTTAACCCTTTCTCGGTTTCTCAGCAATGACCAGGTGGCACATACATGTCAGGAAAACTAATCACCTCCTAACAGGATTTGGAATGAAAGTAAACGCGATGTTGTGCCTTTCCAGTTCCAGCTTTAGCAACCCAAGGTCCATGAATGCTCAGAGATTAGCTGGTTGGCAGTTTGCACCTCACGCCATCTCAGCGTCCGAGTTCTCTCTTCGGACCCCAGGCAGTGAATTTTATGAGATTAAATACTCGAGTATCTCGGAGACAGAGCTTGGGTTTGTGTTTGAAACTGGCCAGACCATCCGGGGACGCCCAGTGAGGCAAACGCATCTCTATTTTCAAGGTGATGACACTGGGCTAGAATGCCGCGAAGTCAACGAGTCCATCCTGCCAGACAAGTTTCTGCTTCTCGACGCCTCCGAACCTCTGACACACGGCAGTGTGTCAAGCTTATGCAGCCGTGGAGTCATTTGAAGGGGTAGTGCTGAGTGCTGTCAATACCTACCAGACGTCTTCCAGCTCTCCCAGTTGTTACGGGGACAAGCTACAAGTTCTCACTCCTCACCTGGGAGGACGCTGCTCGCACCTCCGCCACCTCTCTGCTCGTCTTTTCTTCAGCTCAGGCAGCTCGTACCTTTTTCTCAAGGCTCCCTCCAGTGCGCGCGCAGAGACCAGGGCCGAGCCTTGGGGCGGGCTCGTGACGTCACGCCTCAGCAAGGGAGGCGGGGTTGTGGGAACCGCAGTGTAGCGCAGAGGGGCGGGGCGGGGCGGGGCCTGTGGCGCGTGACCTGGATGCGGGAGGCAGGAATCCGTAGCAAGGTGTAGGGGAGCCCGGACCAGCCGAGCCCAGAGGCGGGGCGGGGAGTGATCAGGCCCAGGCGGCGGGCGCCCAGCGAAGCGCTAAATCGGGTCAAGCTTCCTTCTTTCTTCTCCTCCCACCTGGGCCTCTCCGTGGAGACGCGCACCTGGCAACCGGCAGCCGCGCTCCGCCGCGTCCCCGCCTTCTCCGTTTGGGCCGGGCGCCCAGAGCCTGACCCGCACGCACCCCGAACCTGTCCCCGGCCCTTGTCGCCTCGGTCGCTGGTGGCGGCCTCGAGCGCTCGCTCGTTGATGCCGTTTTGGGGGTGACCCGGCGCGGCGGCGGCGCCTCCATGGTGGGGACGTGTTAGTGGCCGCGGCACTGCTGGACGTCGAGTGCGCGGCTGCAGGGTGAAGGGCAGCCAGCCGGAGAGACCCCGCGCGCAGTTCGGGTTTCGGGGCGCTGGAGGCAGCCAGGGCGGCGCGGAAGCGCGAGATGTTGGAGCTGAGACACCGGGGAGGCAGCCCCAGCCCCGGGGGAGCGGTGGCGGCTCCACCCCGCGAGGGAGAGGCGGCTGGCGGCGATCACGAAACCGAGAGCACTAGTGACAAAGTAAGTAGAGCCGCGAGAGGCGCACGTCCCGGCTGGGTCCAGGTTTGGGCCGGGACACCTGGGAGCATGGGTGGGGCCCACGGAATGCAGGTGAAGCTGTCGGCTGCTCGCTGCACCTTCCTCCCGGCCTGGCGTTATTTCCTCCTTCCTCGAGTGGGTTCGAAAACCCGGACCTCAGTGATGCTGCTTTTCCCAGGATGGCCGCGGCCGCGGCCGGGATAGCTGGAGGATTCCACTTGACTACCGTTTATTTTCTTCCCATTCCAGTTTCTCTCCCTCTTCGGGCTCTGGGGCTGACCTGGCACCTTAGGAGCTAGCTGCTGCTGCCTCACGCCTCTTGTCTGCAGAGGAGCAAAGTTAGAAAGGACTAAACTTATGACAAGCACCTTCGCTTCCAGCATGTCATTGGATCCTGACGCTGGAGGCTTGCCTTCGCGCGCTCCCCCATCAGCACTTTCGTTTCCTCTGGCCTTTTTCAGTGTGCTAGATTGTGGAGGTTTGAGTGTATCATGCACATGACACAGTTATAATCCTGCTTCGTTTGAGTCCTTCGCAGACCTTGCTCTTCTACCAGTAGATCTCATTTGACCTGACAGGTTAATTCATGAGCACTTTTATCTCCCATTCCTATGGATTGCCCTGGCTTCACATTAAAGAATACGTAGATGTAACACCACTATTCTGTGTAAAGGTGGAAAAAGATTCAGCGTTAGGCCAATTCAGTAATGCAGTGGTTGCAAGAAGGAATTTTAGAAAACAATGCAGCTTTCTGACCTTTTAGACTGGCTGGTTTAGGTAATTGGACCAGAGAATACATTGATTTATAAAATCTTCTGTTAATAAAATTCCATTTTATTTTAGAAGCTCAAAGCACTTCAGCTGTTTCTTTAAGAAGCCTTCTTTTTGGGAAGCAGGTATTCCATTTTGAATTACAGGAGTGAAGTGGGTTGGCCAAGGTCAAGTCAGTGGCCCTTTGGAACTAGAACTGGTTTCCTGATTGCCTTTCTTCTGGGTTGTACTGTTGCTGAGAGACTCACTGGCAGTTCTGATTTGGGGAGGGTTCCACCTGGAACTTGATGTTGATGAACTTGGTATCATCTTAAGTTACAAAGCCCTGGTGAGAACGTATCATACGATATAATAATAAATTTAACAGTGATTTTAGGAATGAAACTTTAGAATTAGTAAGATGACACCTTCTTTACTTTTTTCTACCTTTGATAGCAAGTGAACTAAAATGAGAGTCTGTGATAGAACATATGTGTCAAGGAATTACACAAAATATAACAGGTTCCAGCAACTGAAGGTTGAAATTACAAAGCTAGTAACAGTGGGCTGAGAATAGTCTTTGTGAAAACTGCCTTGGAAACTAGACCAAAAATAGAATTAATTAGGTTGGGATTTGTTTTGTTTTAGCACTTGTATAGTTTAGAATCAAGGAAATAACAGCTTCCCATGTGAACTTCCTTAACGAGAAGAAACTAACAAGCTTTTAATAAAAGAAAACATGTTCGGGAAGCCATGCATAAAATAACTTTTGAATTAATTTAATTTCTTAACACCCTAATGTATTTAACATGGAAACTATTTCTGTGGTTTGATTTGACTAAATTAGAACTGTCATCTTTAGCTATCTGTGACTGGGTTACCTCACTGTGTGTTTATTTATTTATTTATAACCGCTGCCCTGTTGGTTTTCATTAACACATACCCAGCTGTATTTTGTTTTCTGAGAGTAGATGTTGCCATATGTAACCTGTTAAGATTTCTTAGGATGAGCATTTTCAAACCATGTCTAAAATGTTGCTGTACTTTTAGAGTTTATCACAAGGAACTCTTGACTTGGCAAGCTTTGAGACATTGAACTCTATCCTCTGACTGTCCTTTCTTATCAGGGTGTATATTTGAATGCACCTGTATTTCCAGGTCAAGGGCTATTTTAAAATCAGTTTGCACATCGGAGAATGGTTAATAATTGGTCTATTTAAACTCTTCAAGTGCCTTCTCTGTTCAAGTTGCGGTAAAGGCAAAACTCTTGGGGAATTAGTGACAGAAGTGGAGGAGGTGTTCCACTTGCAGAGTAATACTTGAGAGATGACAGGACCACCCTCTCAAGGAACCCCCAGGAGACATATGCGTTAGTTATATTATTAGAAGTCTGAACAAGGCATAGTTGGACTCTTCATGGAGACAACAGGAAAAGCTTTATAAAGAGGAGGTGAGGGCTGAGCTTGGAATTGAAAGGTTTCTGGGGACTCACCAGGTGGACAAGTGTTGGAGAAGGGCATTCTAGGCAAAGGGACCTGAGATTAGTTTGGTAATCCGGGAGCATAATAAACTGCATGTTTGGGACATGGGGTGGGAGCCTGAGAGACTTGTGAAGGAAGGTAGGCTTTATTCCATAGACTTTGGAAAGTCACTGGAAAGTGTTTGCAAAGGCATAAGCTTATGACTGTAGCAGCAGCCTGGAGAAAGTGTTGGAAGGGGGAGAGAGCTGCCACAAAGAATTCAGGTAGGAGCATGTTGTAAATGCTATAAATAAAAAGTGATGACAGCTTAAAGTGGGTCTGGTAGGGGCAGGGGAGTAGGGGTTGAGAGAGGATGTATATTTTAGATAATAGTAATGGGACCTAGACTAGGGTGATCAAAGACTAATAAGTCTGCTAGGAGACACGTTTTCATTCATAACTTAACAGTGTTTTAGGAAAGAGGCAAAAATTATTGCTCAGTTTTGCAGGTTAGGAGTGAGCATGGGTGAGTTGGTTTGGACAGGGTGTGTCATTCTCTAAAATAGAGAGGTGGCTCAAGGTGGTGATGAAAACGGGAATGAAAGGTCAGGTCTGGAAATATCAACTTTTGAGAAGGATAGGGAGGGGCGAGAACTGAAAACAGCCTTGGGAAGTGCCTAGGGTGGGAGATACAGGAAAGGAACCAAGATAATGAGGTCCTGGGTGCTAGAAGAGGAGGGATTGCTTAGAGGATATCATCAATAGTATTATATTTAGGAATAAGGGTGAGGCATAGAGTGCAGGTTAGCAGAAGATCTTAGTAGAAACCAGATTTTACAAAAGGTTGAGGAATGTGAAAGGTGAAATATTATAGGTAGTTATTTTCAGGAAGTGCCAGCAGTGAAAGGCAATACAGGATGTAGCAGCTAGAGAGGACTGGAGGATCAAGTGAAATTTTCCTTTTTCAAGGGAGGGGAGATAGGCATTTGTGTGAAAGAAGTCAAGTGGGAGTGAAAGATGCTGATGAGAAGGGGCAGGCCCCAGAAAAAAGAAAGCAAAGGAGTGGAGGGCTGATGCAGAAACATTTTGAAAAGCAGAAGAGGGAAGATCAAAGTGTCTGATGCTTTCAATTTTCTCAGTTAAAGTAGGGTCTCAGAACCATAGAGTTTCAAGGGATCTTAGAAAACAGTGTAGTTCAACCCAATCTCTCTCTCTCTCTCTCTCTCTCTCTCTCTCTCTCTCTCTCTCTCGCTCGCTCGCTCGCTCTCGCTCTTATATTATACTATATATTAAACTTAACTCTGGAGTGTGGTTGTTATTGCCCTAAATGAGCAATAGAGCAAGTGGCAAAGCTGGAACTTGAACTCATCTCTGATAGGACACCTTTGGAATGTTATTTTAGTGTGTGTAATATGAAATGATCAAGAAGCAACTAATGGAATTAATCAAACTCAGTCAGTGAAGTTTCAGTTGAACTAAAATAACACAGATTTGTTTTGTACCAAATTCACATAGTTCTTAACTCAGTAGCAGTAATAGTCATAACAGTTGATGCTTGTATAATGAGTTAGGGTTCACAGAGCACTTATACATTTTACTTTATTTGCTCCTCATAACAACTATGTTAGGGATAGCCCCCATTTAATAGCTGAATAGGAAAGGCACTGGGAGTGATTTTGGCCTGGGAATACCAGGTCAAGGACAACAAAGGAGTGAGGGAGTCTGTGAGGCCAGGATTGAAGTGGCTGACCATGAGATCTGGTGGGCAGGGAAGTGGACTGAAGCCCAAGTGGGTTATTGAAGCTCTGAATGGGTTGAGAGAGTCTGAGCAATTGCAAGTGTTAACCTAACTCAAGGGGTTCTTTTTGCTGGCATGCATCAAAGCCAAAGGAGGCCGAATAGGAGTTTGCAGCAAAGAAAGTAAAGGTTTATTTAAGGAAATGGCACCAAGCCCGGAGACACAGGTGAGCTAGCGCTCAAAGACATGGCTCCCCAGTGGTGTGTGTGTTACAGATTCAATAGGGCAAAATCACAAGACACCGTGGGTTAGGGGTTCTGGGTCATCTTGGGAGCTGATTGGTCAAAGGTGAAGTAAGGATAATGAATCATTTCCTCAGGTGTTGCGGACTGCTCTGAGGTCTTTTCTGGAGTCCCTCTCTTCAGTCTCATGGGAAAGTAGCCAGGGGTTGTTCTACCCTAGGGCTCGGGAACTGAAACCTAACTTAGGGTCAAGCTGTTATCTTTAGCCTGCAGAGGTTCAGACTGACCGTGTGACCATTAGTCAGGTCTGGGCTACTGTCTTCTGCCTTCGGGGGGTTGAAGGGTTGCTTGCTGATTATGGGGGAAAGAGGTCTCTGAAGGGTATATAGGAGAGGGGGATATGATTTCTAGAGCTAGGATTTAAAACCAAATTTAATCAAAGTCCTAAGGACCCTTGGTTTCACAAGTGAAGCTAAGACCCGGTTTACTGGGGTTTACTGGACCAGAAATGGGAGAAAGGGGGGTGCACATGGAAGTTGTGGCCAATAAAGGGAGCACACCTGTAAGTGTCCCTGATGGGCTTGTTACGTGGGGCTGTGGCTTTGGTACAGATTTTGGTTTGTGACGTTGAGAGTGAAAGAATCTGGAGGTCAGTTAATTTCAGTCCTTCCCCATTTGAGATGTGTGTAGTCTCTTTCATAAATACTCTTCTATTTCTTAAGTGAACTTAATTTAGGAACTTGTGTTCCCATAAATTCTTTATTTTGGCACATTTTTAATATGAGTTTCTTG